AAGTATCAGATCAAGAGTCATATCCCGGTATAAAATGGTTTCTTGTTTCAAGCATTACTTTCTTATTCATTTCTTATTCAGAATCGAGTGAACCTAAGGAAACTAAATTTAAAATATCATCCAAATAACGTCCCCAACTGTAACTTACTGAAGAGCTGTGATCAAGAAGCTAACAGTTTACTATTTCATCATGAACTGTGATGCTTTGTTTCATTAGGCATATATTATGCTTACTTTTTCCTTATACAAAATATTTATTGTACAGTTCCAAATCCAGGCTAGGGTGGGGTAAAAGGAGGAGAAAAGCGATTTCTTTTTAAGAACTCATATGGCTCAACACAAATGTACATACCTTGACATTTGTGACCCTTAAATAATATATCACAGGCAATTAAAAACAAAGTACACCTGTCTTAACCAAGTACCAATTTTTGTTTCCCAACGTTAAGTCCCTAAATGCATCCAGCAGATGGTGCTCTAGGACACCTACTTACAGAGAGTAATATTTATATTACATCCGCCTATATTTTGGCAAGACAAAGAATAAGAATTTATCAGTAGCTTCAGTAAAACATACTAGGCTTCACAATAAAAAGGACATAATTCCTAAATATGTGTACAAAAATATGCATATACATAAGCACATGTGCACAGAGGCAGCCAGTCAATAATTCACACCTGGACATATTATGATACTACTTTTCTTACAGACTTGATGAGTAGTCTATGTGTATCAGTAGTATTTATAGTCACATGGCAAGATCATTCTAAATTCATTAAAAAAAATTTAGAATGCCTTAAAGTTAGAATTCATTTTTAATTATAGCAGGAATGTCTCATTAGGGTGATACTAGTAAAATTAACAACAGTAGGATTTACGGTAATGACTTAAGTGATTGATGAGAGTATAACAAAATGAAGTTTTAGACAGAGAAAAAGCAGGGCAGCTATGGCATACAGTACTTTAAAAAACAGCTCTGTGGTCTGTTAGTGCTAGCCTTATGGTTAATAAAACCTTCTTTCTAATTAACGGTGCTGAAATATTCTTAAAGAACAGAATCTTGTTGTTATGAAGAAAAGTTAGTTAGTTTTTTTTTTTTTCAGTAGACGCCATTTCCATAAAGGAGAAAGCTGACATAGATTAGCATGTCTCATTGCAATGAAGAAAAGAAAAAAAATGCCACCTTTCAATCAAATCAAAACCAGAATTTGAGAATGGAAACTCCAAGTATTACTGAAATACCACACACTCAAATCTATGCAACACCCTCACAGTCAGCAACCATTTACTTCTGAAGCTGATCGAATGTAGCTTTAAAATATATTATTCAGATACCTAAAAATACCTAGTAAGCATTTAATTTTTAAAATCCAAGCTTATGATCTAGTATAAAAACAGTGAATAAATAATAACTGTTTTGTATATATTCATCTTGCTTATCTAAATAAGATCATGTCTAAATGTATAGTATTTATTTATCAATGGAATGTACTGGGTAACATTTTCTCCAAAATTTGAAAATGTGCGGTCTGGAGAGCATTATTCTGAAGGCAAAGTAAATATCTTAGGAAGAGCACTTTGGTGATAAGACTCAGTCCAAAAACACAGAGTACTGGGACAAGGAGAGAGAGATGCCATGCTTTCATGTACAAAACATCTTTCAGTGAAATAACCTTGGTTAATTTCATTTTTAAAATCCATAGCTAAATAGAATCCTATATTAATTTTTCTTCTCATTGAGAAAACTGCATTCCACAGGAGACAACTATTACAAAACAAGAGTCAAAGATGAAAAACTATCTGGTATACAGGAAAATAAGCCTTTTGCTATGTAGTATAGCCAGGTATCATAAAACATTTACATTTTTTAAAGCCCCAAGTTATAGTATTTACAGGTTTTATCCAGTTTGAATTAGCCTGATTTTGCCAAAGCAATGTGCACATTAATATTATATAATATGATATTTTAAAAACATTGTCATACAGCTATCAGCTTTACATATAGCATCACTATTAGATTTGGAAAAAACAGCATATGTAGGCTTATAACCCTAGAAAGTAAAATGACTACCTATTCTCATGATTTTTTAAAATAAAAAAATGCCTGAAATAGACCTATAAAATGGAGAAGAAGCAATAACCTGGTTTTATTTATCTATTTTCCCTTCAAGAAAGAAAGAGTCTTGAGTCTACAATAAAAAATTTAAAGTTGAGGTATTATGTGCATTTATAGAACATATTGCAATTATATGTGTATACACGCTTCACCACTTCTTAAAGGTCATTTACATTGTGTCTAAGAAGTACAATATAGGAATAAGCATAACTTAAAAACCCTTCACCTGAAAAGCTCTGACTTCAGCAGCTGCATCGTGGAACTATCAATGGGCCAGAGGCTTATAAAATCCAAACCAGCTTGCATGATTGTTTGAAACAGTTTCCACACGGTAAAAATGTCTTGTTTTTGTTTGTCATTTTCTTTTGAAAACCTTAGACTGCATTTTCCATTTTTCTATTCTAATGTGTGTAAATTCTCATTATAAGAAAAAGTACCTATTTGTCTTTCTCCCAGATACATCTTTCAAAGCTAAAGCAAAATTAAATCGGGGCATCGACATTATACAGGGGCTTGAAAGGATAAGGTTCACTTTGAGAAAGGTAATTTAATCCAGTCAAGATACACGACAATTTTCTAAAATTTTTATTATATGTGCTGTTATATTATTCTCTTTTTTCTTTTCATTGCTAGCATTACCAGGAGGTAATGTCCACCATTACTGCAGACAATGAGTGGGTATAGATGAAGAACGTTATGAAATATGTAACATTACAATATTTACTCTAATGCCAACAAGATGCTGCTTTGTGGTGATTTATTTGCTCTAATCATCCTGTGCTTCTGATAACACCTTAACTCAATTCTGTTGTTGCTTTCATTTTACAGACAAGACAGAAGGACTACAGCAAAGCTTGGAACTTAGAATTTTTTTTTTACTACAAACCCCAAGATTTGTTCAGTCCTACTTAATTCAATTTTTAAAGGCCATCTGTAGGTTGAATTACAAAGAATTTAAACATATGAAAATATATTTAAATGTATACATAAATCATGATATATATCATACTTTCTTCCTTCTTGAAAAGCTGAAAATTCCTAACTTTAAGGTATACTTAAATTTCTGAAGTGCAACAGCAATTACATACAAGTGTAGCTAATAAGCCTTTAGCTGCTTCTTAGAATACAAATTGGTAATGATGGTGTATAACATATAGAACATGATTAAGTAAAATTTAAAAAAAAACAAGAACACAAATATCTATTGTGTGTGTGTTTAGATTTCTATATGTGCATGAAATCTCTTACATTTTTAATGCAAGAAAAAGTTCTTCCTAAATATTTTGAGATAAATAGCAAAATCGTAGATTTATCATCTATATTAAATCTAGGTTTGCCTGAGATAATTTAGTGAATCTCAGAAACTAGATTTAGAGAAACAGGAAAAAAGAAATTGAAAGTAGTCACTTAATTCTAAGAGGCCAGAAAGGAAGAAGGACCAGAATGTTGTGTTCATGATGAAAAAACACAGTACTTTTCAAAAGAATATGAAAAATAAAATCCCTGAAATTTACATCTTTTGAATTTTTATTGTAATTATATAGAGGTATCTGTGTAAGTATGTGAAATGCATATACACCCTCTCCTTGACATATATACACACACACTACAATTTGATCACAAAGTCTGTATTATCCATAGCATCACAGCCTTAAAATTATTTTTCATATTCTATTTGCATAGGAAATTATCCCTTTTTTAATTAAAATAGGAAATATCTATTACACAAAAACTGTATTTACCCACCACATCAAAGTCTATAATGTGCATAATAAGAAATGGCTTTGAAAAATATTTTGCATATATGTCTTTTAACATTATACTAGCATTTGACTAAATTTTTTGAAAAAAAAAGTTCATTTTCATACAAATATTATACGTGTAAGCATAGCTTTGAGAAGTTAGTCCAAAATGTGATGGACTTAACATATTTATGCCATTTCACAATCTGGGGTGGAGTGACAGAGCAAGGACCAAGTATTCAGGTAAAGTCATCAGGAAGAACATGATCCTTCCTTAACCAAATACACTGCAACTTGCTTTAAATTAAGAAACTGTAAATATTTAAGAGCAGTTAAAATACTCTACCTTCTGAAGTAAAAATCTAACGCTATTCTTGCAGGAATTCTACAGTGTTGTCATAATCATTTTAATTAAATTCTCATTTTTCAGGTGGTCCCTTTAATTGTTTTTTCCTACTTCTTAATGTGTTTTTCTAAAGCCATTTCTTTTCTGCAGCTGTGTGCGATTGGTTTTAATGGTAGCTGCTTCCTTTTTTGCCTTCTGTGAATTACAATTTTAAATGGTTACACATTTTTTGTTTTACTGCCTTCAGCACAGTTTCATAAAGATGTTTAGGCTGTTGGTGAACATTTTCATTTCCCATCTGAAAAATCAACAGCCAATTTGAATATTCCATATTGGCCTTTTATGACCTGTTTTATCTTTTTAATACATAAATGAAAGCATAATTTTATAAAGACTAGTTTGTTTGTGTGAAATTATAATTTTTATTTTGTTCTTTTAAAATATGAATTCAATAAACAAGGTAATATGTGATTGCTCTTTTATGCTGTATCTTACTGTTCATGAATAAAAAGTATTTTATTTGGTGACAGCTATTTCCAACGAAGAACTGGAATTTTTGGATCATAAGGACAGCCTATAATATGAAACGTAAGATTTCTTGCTTGGGTTTTAATTGTCAGTGGTCACAAAATGTTAATAATGAGGCTATCTGGACCTTTCTTAAATTATAAGTAAGAAATTTAAAATACTTGATAATTCTGTTTCACTCCTACCATAACAAAAAGGTAATTTTACTGCAAAATGTTATTCTCTACATTCTTGTAAAAGTTTACTTACAAAATGAGTCGTACTTACTGCCTGGGTTATCTCCAATCCCACTGCATTTTCCATTCCAGTACCATAGCAAAAGAGTTGCATCACGTGACCCTGAGAGAATGTAGCAATTTCCCCCAATATATGACTCAGAACGAGCGAGGCAAGTGACGACATCCCAATGGCCAAACACCACTTGGATTAATTTTCCTGTAATGCAAAACAATTTTCTTTAAAATTGCTATTAAAAAAATAAAAATTCTATGAACAGATAACTTGTTAAAACAATGAAGCCATAGGAACTCAGACTGTCATAATTCAGATTTTACAATAATTTGACATGGTCCAACCTAAGAGTTTTTTTTTGAATACTAACAAGAACAACCAAAAAAAATCAATTGAAAGTGTTAACACTTTTGAAAGGTATGTGTTAAAACTATTTCAACAAATAATACTTGAGGACCATAGCACTGTATCATTACAAATGGCTTCTATAAATTACAAATGAATCATGTTTACTGATTAAAGCAGGCCCAGGAAACCCCTTTTGGAACCATTTTAACACTTTCTTGAGTTACTCTATATGATTCAAAATAAAACAAAACTTAGTTGCCATTCTGTAAAAGTACTTTATAATTTAGACGTCACTACTAAAAACCTGTCTCTGAATTAGTGAAGATTTAACATATTTGTTTTTTTAAGTGGTCTATACAAAGACAATATAAGTCATTTTGGAGAGCTTCTAACTTTTCAAATCAGGATTATATGGAAATTATGATTAAAGAACTAAGACACTGTGATTGCAATTTGTCTTAATAGCCTGATGAAAATTCCTTGAGAGTGAAATCAAGATGGTAAAGACTGGGGACATAGAGAGGAGCCCAGAAAACATACTTACTATATATCTAGGGCTTCAAACACATAAGACTTCTTCATGTAAAGATGTCAGAAAAAAAGTAAAACCCTTTAAGAATCTTTGTTTAACCAGATATGGTGGTAATAATTCACACAAAATTGTCTAAAGAATTAAATATCTGTGGCAGATCCCCATTCCATCTTTAGAGTTACTAGCTAACATATTTCCTTTGAAATGTCTACAGAGTATACAAATGAGTCTCACAGAATGTCTACCCTTAATATTCAGCATGGTTTTCTATTTTTTTTAATAAGTGTTTATATTTCTATTATAAAATATAATTCCTGTATTCAAGAAAAAGAAAGGCTACTAAGCAGAAAATTAAATTAATATGCCTAAACAGTTTATGTGTTTAACCTGGAATACAATGTAAACTTCTTAAAAGGTTAAGGTCTCAAGTACTGACATACAAAGTGTATTTAACTTTTCAAGATAATAAATATAATATTTACTTTAAATTTTTTAAATTCTTGATTTTAATAAACCTAAGGCTTATGAAGGCTGAAAATTTAGAAATAAAATTCTGAGGCCGGGCGCGGTGGCTCAAGCCTGTAATCCCAGCACTTTGGGAGGCCGAGGCGGGTGGATCACGAGGTCAAGAGATCGAGACCATCCTGGTCAACATGGTGAAACCCCGTCTCTACTAAAAATACAAAAAATTAGCTGGGCATGGTGGCACGTGCCTGTAATCCCAGCTACTCAGGAGGCTGAGGCAGGAGAATTGCCTGAACCCAGGAGGCGGAGGTTGCGGTGAGCCGAGATCGCGCCATTGCACTCCAGCCTGGGTAACAAGAGCGAAACTCCATCTCAAAAAAAAAAAAAAAAAAAAAAAAAAAAAAAAAAACTGAAATATTATCTAAATCAGATGGAAAAGTAAAATACATGTTTTCATTCATGAGTGGCAACCTTCCATATAGCCTACTTCTAATAAATTTAAAATCAGATTCATTTCAATCTAAAATTGCAAAATTAATACAGTACTTTTTTTCTCCTGTGATTAAGGGAGAGTAGACTTTAAAGCAGGTGTCTCTAATTGCTAAATGTTCAAAATGTTCACTTTTGAATTACTTCAGCCTTTTAAGTTGACACCAAAACATTTCATTAAAAATTAGCTTATATCGATAAAGAATAAAGGAAGAAGAATCTAAGGCTTTCAAGAATTAAAAAAAATTGAGCAAATTAAATATGAAATATATAATAATTTTTACTTCATTTCCAATTTACATGATAAACAGAATGTGGAGGTTCAGCGGTAAATTGGCGAGATCAGAGTACAGGCAGACCTTACACAGGATAAGACAAAAGTTAGGTAGCTGAAAGCACTCTTATTAATAAATAGAAAATCAAAGGTTAAATCCGTGTATTTTAACCACTGAAAGAAACTGAATCCATCATATAGTGATGTGATCACAGAGTATATATGGTGACTTCTGCTTTAGCCTATGCCTAAATGCTCAGAGCACATAAAATATAGGCATGATTTAAATAGATTACATACAGGCAAGCTTATTTCAGATTTGAAATCCAACACTCAGTGGGTTGTAAGAGCAAGGATGAGTGAAATAATCAACCAGGTACTTGAGGTAGACAACACAGAGGAAACCCAGGTGTTCCTTGTGCAGCAGGGGGCTTGCACAGAACAGCTATTCAGTTGGTAACTTAATTTCCAACTTATGTGAGGACAAAGGGAAAAAATTTAGCTGTAAGAGTGGTATGGATTAAATATAGGGGCAGAGTTTTACAAGATGCACATGTTAATTCTTATGACTTGAAGTCACTGCTCTGTTTCTCCAGTGTCGGTGTAAGGAAACGTGTATTCAGTTGTGGTGGTTCCTTTTTCAACTAAAATCTTCTACTGTTTTGGTTATTTCCCAAAAGGTTATCAAAATTCATTTTCATTCAACAAATACTTAGCACCTATTAAGTGCCAAGCATTAGGCCTTCTTACCTGTATACAGCGGTGAACAAATAGACATGGTTCCTGCCTCATAGCCTTTACAGCGTTGTGAAGCAGACCGTCATTAAACCCAAACATATATATAATTATGAATACGGATAAGTATTAGAAAGGAGAGAGTGACATTTAAGCAGTTACATCTAAAGGGTTTATATGTTAACACAAATTAACTTTATTCTTTACAATTTATACTTTGGGCTCAACTCTGGAAAACATTATTTTTAAGTTTACTTTTTCCTGTTCTGGCAGCCTTCCTCAGCAATATTTGTTATTGCTATAAGGTTGAGGTTCACTCCTCCTAAATAAATCACAGCATATAAATACCTGCTGCTCTTTTTGGTAAATTATTTTCTGATAATCTCATAAGTGTTCCTCAACCTTTATTTTTTGTTTCCTTTAATACCAGTCCACCTCTCCACACACTAATATCAAATATTACCACAAGCACTAGAATATCCCTTTTTTGACAGAACAAATTTTCTAGTTAATGTTTTATTTGACAGCTGTGCTACAAATAAAAAAATTCAAGCTCAGGACTCTGCACTGGATCTAAAATGCGGCCTGAAAATAATTCCGATTGCCAGGGGAAGGTTTTATTGTTGCCTCTGCTGTTCTGGTTGTGGCCCGAAAACATGATTTATGTTTAAAGAATTTCCTGTTACAACCCATGTTTCTCCTCCCTCCCCCGCAATCTAATAAGAGAAGGATTTTTTTTTTGGCTTGTGTGCTAAAATATAATTGAATTCAACACTTGTGTTAGCTTTGCCATTATATATTACTGATCATACAATTTTCCCTTGATTCTCTGCTAAACTTAGGAAAAAATATTTAATATTCCTATTGTCATAAAAATGCAAACACATATTTACCCTAACTGAAATTATTTTAAATAAAACTTGCATCAGATTTTTTAAACACGATATTAAGAAAGATACCAGGACTATCATTTGAGATTTTTTCTACAACTTTTCTGGTAAGTATAAATATTTTTATTTCGCAAGCTAAGTCGGTCTCTGAAATGAAGGGATTGAAATGAAGTTTAAACTGAAATGAAGTTTAAAACTATTCCTTATTTATACATTTTACACACAAACACACATATTTTTAAAAACAGTACATTAGAAGGTATTTTGAAAGAGGGAAAAGAATGATATCAGGTTTATTACATCTAATGTAACATGGCAGACATATTAGGAACCTAGTATTACCAATTACAGCATTTTCCCAAAGAAAAGTGACTGACTGGTAACACCTGGATGAGACAACATGGTACAATCACAAAGCATGCTACATTTAAAATTAGAAGAGGTAGGTCCAAGGCCTACTTCTATCACTGTTAGCTACATAAATTTCAACAAGTTACATAATGTCACTAAACCTCAGTTTCATCATCTGAAAAATGGGGATAAGACACCTGTCCACACCACAGGATTATTATGAGACTGAAACAATACCTAGCATGTGAAAGAATTTTATAAATTCTATAAAACTGTGTGAATATAGGATTTCAATTAGTAGTAGTATATAAAAGTGAAGTTAGCTTTACTTTACAAATATTAATATTGCATGCTTTAAAAAGCAATAATATAGAATGTCAACAAACTAAAAAAACTCGAATGCCAAAGCCAAAGATTGACATGGTTTGTGCTTCCATTTATATGACATTCTGAAAAAGGCACAACTAGAGATGAGGAATAGATCAGTTACTGCCAGGAGGTTGAGGGTGGCATAAAAAGCTGACTTCTAGTAGGTGGCACAGGGTATGTGGGGGCGCTCTGCACCTTGACTGTGGCGGTGAACTACTCAATGCATTGCCAAAACTAATAGAACTGTAAACCAAAAAGACTGCTTTACAGTTCTATTAGCTCTGTTTTACAGTGTAAAACTCATTTTCAGGTTCAAAAATTTTTAATCACTTAAAAAATATGTGGAAAAGAAATATGAAGTCCAAAAGAATATTTAAGAAAATCTCCAGGAGTTTAAGACCACTCTGGACAACAGAGTGAGACCCTTGTCTCTATAAAAGCTTTAAAAACAAACAAAAAAAAACAAGAAATAGCTGGGTGTAGTGGCACGTGCCTGTGGTCCCAGCTACTTGGGAGGACAATACAGGAGGATCACCTGAGCCCAGGAGTTTGAGGCTGCAGTGAGCCATAACTGTGCCACTGTACTCCAACTGTCTCTTTAAAATAAGCAGAAAAAAACAAAGAAGGAAAATCTTGTGAAACGGTGTGACAGGTTTAACCTCAAAGTTTGTGCAAAAAGAGCACAATTTGAGGTCAAATATTGCTAAGGGTTATCATTATAATGGCTGAAAGAAAAGCTAATATTTCAATTTGACAAATCTGAGGAAATGTATAAAAATAAATATATTTTAAGAAAACTTGCCATTGAATTATTAGAGAAGGTTAAAGAAGTGTTTTAGGTTAATAGTAATCCACCCCATAGACTTAAACATCTAGTAAAAGCCCAAATAATCAGAAAGGCTTGAATGGTGATGCTTTCTTTCCTACACCTACAGAATAAAGATGTAAACTGTAAGTAAACCACATAATCAATTCCACATAACAAACAATAAAGATAAAAAGATGTTCAAGAACAAACTCCTTGAATAACCAAAAATTAATTGTTCTATATACTATATTTATTAAGGCAGGAGTATGGACTCAAACATTTTATAAAGATTATTAACAAGACTGGAAGATGATTTACCATAAGGCATTTAAATAACTAGGAAGTTCAATTAAAAAGATTTTTCAATTCCTACAACATTACATAAAGATATATCTAGGTCTTTGTTTCAGTTGAAATATCTACTTTCATAGTATATAGTCATGAGCTTTATAACAACTTTTTGGTCAACGATGGACTACATATATGATGGTGGTCCCATGATATTATAATGAAGCTGAAAAATATCTATCACGTAGTGACATCATAGCTGTGGTATCACTGTAGTTCAATGCATCACTCACGTGTGTCGTGATGCTGGTGTAAATGAACTTACTGCACTGCCAGAGGTATATAGATATAGCACATACCATTATGTATGGTGCATAATACTTGAAAATAAATGACTCTGTTACTGGTTTATATATTTATTATCCCATACTTTATATTGTTATTTTAAAGTAAACTCTTTCTACATATAAAAAGAAAAAGTTGATTCTAAAATAGGCACAGGCAGGCCCTTCAGGTGGTATTCCAAAAGGCATTGTTATCATAGGAGATGACAGCTACATGCATGTTCTTGCCCCTGAAGACTTTCCAGTGGGCCAAGAATGTGGAGGTGGAAGACAGTGATACTGATCACCCTGACCCTATGGAGGCCTAGCCTAATTTATATGTTTGTGTCTTAGTTTTCTAAAAATTTTTAAAATAGGAAAAAAGCTATACAATAAAGATATATAGGAAATATTTTTATACAGTTATACAATATGTATTTTAAGCAATGTGTTATTACAAGAGTTGAAAAGTTTAAAATCATTAAAAAATTTATAAAGTGAAAAAGTTTCAGTAAGCCAATTATTACTGAGGAAAAAATTTGTAAAATAAATTTAGTGTAGCCTAAGTATGCAGAGTTTTATAAAGTTTACAGTAATGTACAGTCATGTCCTAGGCCTTCACAGTCACTGGCTGCTCACTCACTGTGTCAACGCAGCACAACTTCCTGTCCTACAAGCTCTATTCATGGGAAGTACCCTATTAGGTAAACCAGTTTTTATCTTTTATTATTATTATTATTATTTACCTGCAGAAGACAGTGGAATTTTTATCTTTTATCATATTTTTACTCTACTTTTCTATTTTTAGATATATTTAGATACACAGATACTTACCATTGTGTTACAATTGCCTACAGTATACTGTATGGTAATATGCTGTGCAGATTTGTAGCCTAGGAACAATAGGTGACTCCATATAGCCTACATTATTCTGGGATATCCCACCCAATTTGTGTAAGCATACTCTATGATGTTTGCACAACGATAAAATCCCCTAACAATGCATTTATCAGAATGTATGCCTGTTGTTAAGCAACACATGACTGTAGATCAATTAGCTCTAATGAATTACTATCTCATTTTAATTATTTGAAATATTAAACTATATATTTACTATAATTTTATTTCATCCTCTAACAATTTCTAAAATATTTTAAGGGACACCATTAAATTTCTCAATGTTTCTCAATTTCCTATATGCAAAAATTTATAAACATTTACACAACCAGATCTTCTATAAGACTGAGCTGAGCTGGTTTGTCCCTTAGGGAGATGCATGTAAATGAATATATAGACTTAAAACTTTTATATTTTAACAGGACCTCCTGTCACACACGAAATCAATAGTCAGCTACTTTTCTTCATGATGGTGTAGATTTCAGCAAGATTCTATGCAGAATTGGGTAGAGGCAAGATATCTACTGCCAAGAGTTAGACTTAATGAGTCTTTCAAGTAAGGAAAAGAAAATCCTTTAAATAATACAAAAGTGACAAAATACACTTCTATGTATGTGCACTTGCCATGAGACTATGCATACACTCATGCATGGTATTTACATACCAGGACTTGCCTTCAAAATGAATCATTTATTCTATAAGCATGAGCTTGGGACACAAACCTACTATAAAAAACTGTCTCTTACAAACATGGTGAAGCAAATTTAATAGTGAACTACATATAGTAGATTATTATTTGAAGAGGGAAAACAATGCCCTTGTCTCTTTATTTTGTAAATATTAGGATTTTATAATTTTTAGAAAGAAGCAGATGAGAATGCATTCTAAGCCTCTCAATGCTACTTATAGTAAACTTTAGCTCACTGATAAAGAAAATAAAAATTACCTGTGTCTGTAGAATAGACTCTGAAACTCTTATCCCAGAAGCCACAGACAAGAATATAGCGGTTGTCTGAAGTGATGACGAAGCACTGGGAATGCACCTGAATACTTTGGTCTAAAAGGTCAGTGATTTGTCTCCTATGCATTCCTGTATTGCTGGCTGTAAGAATAGGGAGGAAAAACAACAATTAAACCCACATGGACAAAGAAATTCTATAGTGAAGGAGAAGAGGAGACAGATTCTCAGATAACAGTACTTGATCTTTAAGTATAATAATTGAAAATTCAAGTAGGAAAACATATCCAATCGCTGGAAGAATGTGGGTAGCTAAATTCAATATCTCAGTTAAAAAGTTTTGCTTAGAGGAAAGAAAAAATAACACTACAATTTAAAAATAGTACACAATTCACAGAACATGCTCTCTAGCTCTTGGGCAGAACCAAACTAGATTACAATCTCCAGACTGCATCACAGTTAGGTTTGTGTTTCTGACAATCTCATTACATTTATTGTCATGAGAATGGTTCATGTTGTGACAATCTATTACCTTTAACATTTTGTCACAAGGAAGAGATATTAGGATTTAAATGTCATATATTTGAAATATTGTAGCATCTTGTACTACTTTGGCTTTAACGGGTCTTTAATTTGACTGGATGGGAACTCCCATTTCCCCTGTTTACAACTGCACTTGCATGTAAGGAAAGGGTAGAATGACTATTTATTAAAGATTCTTGTAATTGAAAAAGTCAAAGCACAGCAGACTGCCACTTTCTTACTCTTTATTTAAGCAATAAAACAAGACAGCCTTGGCAGTGTGTTTTCAAAGTGCTACAGAGCACCTGAAATGGGGTTTGTCACAAAGAAAAAGGTCAGACATAGAGCAACACTGAGCACATAGGAAGAGTAATAATCGCCCAGAAATACACCATCGAGTGTGCCATTATCAGAAACGAAATCTTCACCAAGATACCTTTTTTGGCATTAAGGCCAACCAAATAGAAAGCTTTATTTCCTAGTGATCTAAGGGTTATTTTACCATCATCTCTCCAGTATAAATAAGGATTCTTATGCTGCTAAAGAAATTTGATTGTACCAGAAATCAGAACAAACTTCTGCATCTGATTATTAAGCTTTTTATCATGTTTCAATTTTTTGAAAAATTAAACATACAAAAATATCCATATTCTATTCATTGTATGTAAAAACTGCGTTAATGTGGGTAGTTTAATAGAAAACTCAGAAAGTAAAACAGAAGAAAAAAAAGTATTCAAAATACTCTCCAGTGCTGTGATGGGAACCACAGTGGACACAGGTCTGACGGATCTGCTGCCCTCATGGCACATACAACAGGCACACATGTACACATACACGTTAACACTGCAGAATCCTGCTAATGTCTGTGTACACAACTATTTAAGATTATTGGATAACTATTTCATAATGGAAGCTTCATATGCTTTTGGAGGGTTACTGGTCTAGAAAGTGATAGCAGTAGTAAAAAAGGCAGAATCCTTGTTGGGAATTATTTTTTTTCCTTTCTTTCTAACAATGGGAAGTTGCTGGCAGATGAGAAAAGCTTTTATGGATATCATATTGTTATCATGGAGACAGTGTCCAATAATTACAATCAAGTATCCCATTGAAGTTGTGTGATACAATTTTTTAAAATTCCAATAAACCTAGCAATTAAAACAAGGTCTGTGGTACTTTCTATACTGGTTACTGCAATACTTCATTCCGCATGAGAACTGTAGACATGTTCATTCTTGTCAGTGTTATATATGACTTTTGCTCCTATGATATAAACTTTTGCGATCTTTTTTGGGGGGTTGGGGTGATCTCTTGGGAGAACCTCAACAGATTTGGGCATGTACATAATTTTGAATTGACTGACCACAAAGTACCCATGGGCAAAGGCTGATGCTCCCTCAGCAAACACATGAACTATTTTCTAAGCAAGTGCTTACTTGTAATTTAACACTGCCAAGTCCCCCATCCAACTAAGGTATATTTATCTAGATAAGCAGTCTTCAAACTAGGGTATGCATACCCTTGGAGATATAAGACTTCCTAAGAGATACACAGGTTCAGAAGTTAAAACCAGCAAGTTTCTAATTTCTCAATTTTAATATATTTTACTGCTTGAAATCGATTTGCCTGAGAACTCTCCTGTGAGTGTTCCTCTCTTACCTCCACTTTCTCATGCCCTTCTTCCACCAGATAAAATAAGGACATATTTCCCGTCCACACAGAATCTTACTATGTGCTTTACCCCAGAATATAATTTCTTGCCTCCAATAAAGGTACAATTCAAAATGATGAAGTGATACTGAAAAGTGAATGTACAGATATCAAATCATTCTGCAAGTCAGGTGGTTTCCAATTTACTGCTTTCAATAAAATGGAATGAAGATCCAATCATGTTGTCAATTGGTAGATCATTAAAAATAAGTTTTAATGACAGACTGTTAAAATTATAGATAATTTAATAATAAACCATAAAAATAACTCTTAGTAATAGATCACTATATGAATTTTGCCACTAATGAAGAAAGAGTTCAAAGATTTGAGTGGCACAGTTGAAACAAAGCTCTTTCCCATCTATTTTCTAAAGTAAGTAACATTGCTCAGAGGTTCCATTGTCAGGATTTGCTGACAAATCCTGTCTTGTGCAGCATTAAATAATATTTATCCAGGAATATATGTGTTAACTGGGGGGGAGGGGGGGAAGCCCTATCTATTTCATTAAAGATAAATTTCCAATCAATGTTCATTTTATGTTAATAAACATTTATTAAACTTTATAATTATAAATACATTAATATTTGTAATAATCACTCAATACAGATAAATTTATTTTAAAACTTGAGCCTTATGGTGATAGGAACTTTTAAAATTTAAATTGAATACATATGCTTAACTTTTCAAACACATTTTTTGGCAGAAAAGCATAATAGAGTAATCAATTTTTTAACGTTAACATAATATTATCTGGGGGAAGTAGAATAAAAATATAAATTCAAGATAAAAAAGTAATAATGTGAAATTTCCAAATGTTAACGGGTTTTTAATGTATTTTTTAGAAACAAAATATTGAATATCAGTTCACTCTAATATTTAGGTTCTATTAAATATACCAAAATTTTGTTTACTGAGTATCAATTCACTCTGATACTTAGATTCCATTGGATATATTAAACAGCTTTTACACTGTGCCAGAACTTATAACCTTTGCAACCATTTAAACTTGTGATGAAAACTTATAGATGTCAACTTAAAAATGTCTGAGAGGGTACATGGTTTTAAAGAATTCTTTTAGGAGGTAGAGGAATAAAGTCTGTTGACCAGTAATCTCGGGCAGGGACAGCAAAACTATGATCCAAGGCTGAATCCAGCCCATGCCTGGTTTTGTATATACAGTTTTATTAGAAAACAGCTATGTTCCTTTATTTGTATTTTCTTTATGGTCACGTCTGTGCTATACTGGCAGAATTAAGAACAACTTGAGTTTCCCTTATCTGAAATACTTGGAACCAGAAGTATTTTGGATTTCAATTTTTTTTTTCAGGTTTTGGAATATTTGTATATATTGAGATATCTTGGGGATGACACCCAAGTCTAAACACAAAATTAATTTGTGTTTCATATGGACCTGATATATATATAGCCTGAAGGTCGGTAATTTTATATAATATTTTAAATAATTTTGTGACTGACATAAAGTTTGGACTGTGTTTTTAATGTATGTCACATGAGGTCAGGTGTGGAATTTTCCACTTAATGGTGTCACATTGGTCTTCAAAAAGTTTCAGAGTTTGGACTAGTTTGGGTTTGAGATTTGCAGATTAGAGATGCTCAACCTAAAATACTTACTATCTGGCCTTTTACCAAAAAAGTTTACCCATGCTTACTCTAAAGGGTTACAACAATTGCTGAATTCATTTAATTAGACTTTATAGTGTAGAATATTCATTGTCAAGGTGCAAAGAAAATGATAGGTCTAAAATTCAGAAATCATGCTTTAAATGACTCAGCAAATGGACTTCATTATTTTCCTGACTTTTAAACTACCCAAGTGAGCATTTTAGTTTTTTTTTTGTTTTTTTTGTTTTTTTTTTTTTAATATATGGCAAATCATATCTACTCAAAGAAAAACAAGATTTAAGAACCAGAGTGGTATTTATCCTTCATATAGATAATTACATATTAGATTCTGGTTATACTTGGGGAAATGATAAATGAATTGGTTTAGAGGTTATTTTTGTTCATCCTGATAGTCATCCTGCTAATGGTGGTCATTTAGCTCTCCATTGAAACAATGGTTTTTAAAGACAAAAATGGTAATATATATGGAACATCTTGGATTTTAAAATAATAAAACTGCTCATTTATATGCTTTCTTTAAAAAACACTAAAATTCTAACAAATTTATTTGTGCCAGAAAAATCTGACAAAATTGCAAGTTAAATATCTATGCTGACAGCATTACCCCACAGGTAAGCAAGTTTTTTATTCTAAAAATTATTAAATAACTTCAATATTATTAAATATTATTAAATAACTTCAAAATCGAGGCTTAACATTCTTTAATGTGATGCCACATTTGAAATCCCCACATGTAAGGATGAAAAATGCTAAACTAGAGATTTCAACTAATCTACTCAAAAAGCATAACAGCAATTAAATATTCTAAGTCATCTGCTGCAGATGCTCATTTCATCCCAATGGCTCTTTCTGGTCTCCTCCCTATTTTTTTCTCCCCTGAACAAATTTAACCTCCAATGGCAATTTATTGGGCTGTAGGACCCTAGGAAAATGAATACAAATATCTTAACACTACCCTTGGCTAGGCAATATATTTCAACTTTGAAACTGCTCTGCAATTGCACATTAATCCCCTCAGACTGAACAGAGGGTCTAGGAAGAAAGGATTGATCTCCTTTAATGATGAAACCCTGGCACTACAGTTTTATTTTTCATAACACAGTACTGCTAAGAACCCCACTGTTATTATGAAAATTTTCCTAGCAAAGGAGCTCCATCACATTACCGGTGCACCAATTCATCATAACGTGCCTTGCTCCTGCTCATCAACAAGTCTGAGTGATGAAAAGATCCAATATTATCCTGACAGTACTTCATGCGCATTCTCAATCACACATTATTACAGCATCCATATTAATTTTCAGTGACACGCGTCCTAGGCCTGTTCAAATTAGGCAAACCAACGAGGGGGAGTTGATGAAATACCAGCATAGCCACAGCTCATTGCATTCCAATTTGCATGCAAATGGTTTATCAGGAAAATTCCATTCCCAGCAACCAGCAAGTGAAAAACAACTGTAATCTACACTTCAGGGCCACCATACAGAGCTTAATGAATCGCAAAGAGAGAAGGAAGTGACAGACCTATGAGAGGATCGATTTCCACTGGCAGCTGGTATGGCTGGTCTTGTACAGCACCTTGATGAGCTGGAATTCACAAAAGATAAAGAAAAAAGGCATTATTTTTTATATACTAAACTACATAAAAATGCATAAGTCAAACCTTATGTAGAATCGTTTCCAATCTCTAAATCTTTCATGTAGTTTTGCGAATTTAAAGAACAAAAATCCAGGTGCTTTTATGGCTAGCTTATTAAACATTTATTTTAGATTAGTGCCGCTCTGAACATGTGCCATCAGCAGTGGCTCCAGTCCTAGGCCATAAGCTATAGCAGATGCTTGACTGGCAACCTCTGATGCTGCAACAAAACAAAATTAAGTGGTAAAGCGCACTGAAAACAAAATGTGACAACCATCTGCTGACTGTAGCAAATACTATTTTTTTTGTTACTTCTTAAAAAGGCAGTTTTGAACACAAAGGATCCACAAAAATGCCAATTTATGATGGAGAAAGGGAAAGCTCTAAGTCAGAGAACATTTAATGTTTCATCCATCACTTAAAATCAATCAATTGAAAGTCTGAATAAAAATAAAGAAAGCTATCCACAGATAAATGTTTCAGTTAAATGCATTTGGCTGAAATATTTTCTTAAAGATTGGATTGAGGGCTTAAAAATACATTTTATTAATATTTAATATTTCCATGGTTTCAATTTAAAAATACTCTGAGAAGCAAATGAATAACAAAAATCAATCTATCCTAAGAATAGTTTGTTCAATTCTCAAAATGGTTTTAAGGATTCAGGCATGCTTATTTTATAATTGAAGAGAGGTTTTGCAGGCTGTTTCACTGTGAAAGGGAAAAGGACTTTTGGTAAAGAGGAAGTATGTTAGGAATCAGGAACTACCTGATGCAACCTTGCACAAATCATAAACCATAAAACAGGGTTCAGAATAGATTATCTTTTCAGCTTCATAGTTCTGATAGTTAATTTCTGAGCCCTTTTCCAAACTATTTTCCCCAAATGACTCAACCCTACACTCTGCTCAGTATCTACTTTTTATAGACTCACAAGCATTCACATTATTGCTTGGTTGATATTAGAGCTCTGCTTAATATGCCATTGATAGCGGTGGGTTAGGGGAGGTCCCCAAATGCTAGTGGGACCTCAACCCTGGCTGGTGACCAGGCCCTTGAAACCATAGTGAGAAGAAACTCAAGGACAATTCAGGAAATAGTAAAAGTATGGAGATTTATTGCAAAGCAAAAAGTACACACTCAAAAGGGGAGTGCGGATGTACTCAAGAGAGAGTCGTGTACAAGGAGGGTTGGGGTTCCTATCTCTATGGGTTTCTCTAACGAAGGAGTGGAATGTTTATGAAGATTCCTGGGAAAAGGTGGTGATTTCTCAGAACTGTGGTGCCATCCATTTTTACACCAAATATGGGTGGTACTGGAACAGTCATGGCACTGGTGGGTGTATGATTTGTATGTTAATGAGCATATAATGAGGTTCTACGTCAAGCCTAGATCAAATTCAGCGTCATGTTGGGTCCGGACAGTCTCAGCCAGCTTGGCCTGCACCCTGGATTTTCAGGGTCATATCAGCTCCTAGCTTCTGCAGCTACTTCAGTAGTTTTCTTTTGCAAATCAAGAAATTGCTGCCTGGAATTTTCTATTCTCCTGTGATCACCCTGTAGTATTCCTGTCTTGCCATCAGGTTTTAGAAAATCTATCTGTCTCTGAGGGGTTGAAACTAACTATGGGGTACATTTCAATAAGTTCATTAGATTATTTTAAACTTACTCTGTCATAGTTTTTCCAGTTAGTAAATACCAACTTTTTAAAGGATGTTTAGAAGGTCATTAATACTTATGAAATACCTAAGTAAAATATTGGCACTAGAAATTAAAGTATGTATAAGAAAATAAAGTAGTTGAAAAAGAAACCAAAATGACTCCTTTTTTTAAAAAAAAAAAGAAAGAAAGAAAGGTATGTGTCTTTGCTGATTACTGGCTCTCCTGGTAAAGAAATCACAGGATGCTCACAAGGGAGGACCAGGAAAAATGTTCCACAGCCTCTGGTCTACCCAACAGTGCCACTTACTTCCAGCAATACCAGTGTCAATCAACACTAATACCTTGGGAATTTTTCTCTGCTTCTCTGAGAATCTGAGATCTTAGAAACATTAAAACCAAACTGGCAGTGAAAATAGGTTTAAGGTGGTTTGGTCATGCCTCAAATCCCACTTCTGCCACTGACTGCCTGTATGACCTTGGTCAAGTTATGTAATCTCTGTGTTTCAATTTCCTGATCTATAAAATAGGTTAGATGTGTTAGACTGAACTATATGAAAGTGCTAATACCTGACTGTTTTGACCTATTAAAAAATGCAGTTTTATATGGTCCAATCTAAGTACATAATCTGCATCCTCAGGTTGTTGAGGAGATTGAGTTAATACACATAAAATGATTAAAACAGTACTTAGAAACTAGAAAATGCTCTATAAACATTTGCTACTGTTATTTTCTATTTTCTGGAGGTTTCCAAGGTCTCTTGAAAGAGAAGGGAGGTTAAAGATGATTTATTATCTAAATCAGACACTACTCAAAGAACTGAGGGGAACTGGCTGTCTAATGAATAAGCTAGGGAAATCATAGATCCTCAGAAAAGAAACAGAACATAACATTAAAAATATATACATATTGTAATATGAACTTGATATTTACTGAAGAAAACTTTCAGGGAATTTTGATGTTTGTTTTAAATCAAGGCATAGTGACAGGTAAAGATAGCAAGAGATAGAATGAAAAGTTAGATTTATATAAACATATCTAAAATAGAGCATAGATTTAATATAATAAATGCCTAATATTCTTAGTTGTAGGTGCAGCTCAAATTGGAGATCACATTCTAGAAAGGTAACTGCCTGTGGTGTATTGGTGTATTCTCATGTTACCACTTTTTATATTTTTTTGATGAAGAGCTGCTGTGTCATACTGTAAAGGCAGTATGTATGGAAAGGGTGAAGACAAACATCTCTAATGACACAGTTACAGACATAACGATGGCTCATTGAGGAGAAATATAGGTAGAATCTGCAGAACCATGCAGTTTCCCCAGCTATCTTACAGAAAGGTTAGCCAGGCTTGGGAACAGTTAAATGCATCTTAAGTGGTACACCTGCAGTGGGACTCTACCCCTAAATCACTTTACATATTTATTTATACAAAAATTGGAAGTGGGGAAGAGAGTTTCTGATCACTAGGTACTAAGGGAAGCAAGCTTTTTAGTGAGGGACATGGATTTGCTGGAAAGGGGAAAGCCAGAAGCTTGGTCATCAATACTTAGGGTTATCAGTGCTAAAACCCGAAATCAGCTGGAGACCTAGGAGCCCTGTGGCTGAGCCAGCTCAGTTCCCTCTAAGCCAGCTCCTCCTAGGCTAAAGTAAAGATGGGGTCGGAGAACAGTCAGGGCTTTCCAGCAGTTGTAAGGTTTGCCCCTCCTCATGTGTGCTGTCACTCTGTTTAAACTGAAGAAGTTCTCAGGGCTGCACAAATAGCCACCCAGGATAAGTGTCATCAGTGGTGCCCCTGGAGTCACGCTTGCTGTTGCAATGCTTTAAGGGTATCTGCACACAGAGTACCTAAATCCTCTAGTATATTTGATAGAACATATCACCAGCATGTTTTTCTTCTCAAAAGAAAACATGGTTTAGAGAAATAAAAAAAAAATCATGCTTCTTAAATAAATTATAATATTTAGTCCCAAAATATAAGTGTGTTATTTGCATACATACTCACTTCTGTGAAGAGAAGTTCACTTACAGAAAAAGGAAAAAAAGGACATAATAACAGAGACACTATATACCTGCCTCCATTTTTACTGTCTCTACCTTTTCTGAAATCTATTTTGTAATCAAATATTGGCATTTATTTTCATTGTTTCATTTCCAATATAGGTAGGAAAATGGCTATGTTTAATCAATTCTAATACCAACTACAGATTCTTTGTGGGGGGTATACCATATTGAGCTTAGTCAATGTACCAAGTTTTGGTTTGAATGTACATTTTGTTCCCTTGCAGAAGCTGCTGAATTTGGCATGAGGTCTTTGTTCAAGAACTTGTATTTTTGCAACTGTTTCAGGTATTCTAATGAGCAGTGCTTTATGTACACTTTAGAGATTTAATGACAATTTCATGAACTACTAAAATTTATCTTTTAAATTTTCCTACCTAAAACAATGGCTTGGGAGAAAGGCCTACAATCTCCAGAACTTTAAAACATTTTCCTCCTCTTCCAAAAAATTCTAACTGGTAGCCAAAAAGAACAGTGCTAATCCAGGTCCCAACTTTCCTGCTCTAATGAGAAAGAATACAGCACAGAGGGGTGGTCATAAAATTTGAGTGAGAAAACCTGGGCTCAAACTCTGCCACTGACTGGGCATATTTCATGCAGAATGAGGCGAGCTCCCTGGGCTCATTGTCCTCACTGGCAAAAAATGGCTGGAACAGATAAACTTTCATGCCTCTTAAAATCTGCACTGTTTATGATTCTAATGGTTATTTCAGTTGAGCATAATTGTGTTGAACACTTAATAGAAGAATAGAAGGTACTTACAGATATGCAGTATTTTGGCTATGTAATCTAAGTGTTCTTTTTTTTTTTTTTTTTTCTATTATCCTTAACAAATACTACCAATATTATCAGGCCAAGCACAAAAAGGTACAGCTTCTGGCACATAGTAGACGATCAGAAGTCCTTATTGTGGCTGAACATAGTGGCTCACGCTTCTAACCCCAGCACTTTTAAGAGGCTGAGGCAGGAGGACTGCTTGAGGCGAGGAGTTCAAGACCAGCCTGGGCAACACAGTAAGCCCATCTCTATGAAAAGTTTAAAAATAAATAAATAAATAAATAAATAGCCAGGCATGGTGGTCCGCCTCTGTAGTCCTAACTAATCAGGAGGCTGAGGTGGGAGGATTGCTTGTGTCCAGGAGTTCAAAGCTACAGTGGGCTACGATTACAATACTTCACTCTAGCCTGGGTAACAGAGCAACACCCTGTCTCTAAAAACAAACAAACAAAATTAGAAAAAAACAAAAAAAAAAGACCAAGTGTATACTGAGTAAAATGAATGAGTAAAAAAGTAAAACATTTGATAAATAAATAAATATTACTGTTTATGGACATAATATAGAATATCATTATATTAAAACATTGTATTAGAAACAGTATTTATCTCCAAGGATAAAGATAAATCACCAGAAGCTAAAAAATATTAGGTTTTAACATTTGTACTATATGCCTCACATGGGCCTTTTTTAAGCCTTTCAAACTATTGAACAATTTGTTTCAGACTAATGCTTGAAAATTGAAAGCTTAAATGTTGAGATACGATATACTTAAGTGTGTATTATACGGTGTTCAGCAGTTACCATACCTTATAATGGTATTTCTTTACTTACCAGGAAGATTGTGCCATTTGTTCACGGCAAATAACCTGTTAGCAGTGACTGTGATTACAGCAGGAGTTGCCAAACCAGGCTGGGTGTTGGCTGCCACGTGAGTAACAGGGGAGTTGGAGGGAAACTTGAGGACCATGATAACATCCTGCTGGGCTTTGTCTGTGAACATCAATGGACTCTGCAGGAGGAGATACTGTTGAGTGGGCATGACAAGACCCAAATATACAAAAAGGAAAAGACAAAGGAAGACAAGAAAGAGAGAGGGTACAGGAAAAGAAGAGGAAGACCATGTTAACATGAGTTGTAAGTGGAAGCACAGTGAGCAGAAAGGCTTGTAGAAACAGCAGTCATGATTTGGCTGTTATTCATGTATGTCATTAGTCGGAATTTTGGGGGATTGAAGTAGAATACATTAACAGAAACACTTTAAAATTTATAAATTTTATGAGTTCCCTTTCCCTCCCCACTGCCATGAAAAACTAAAAGAATGATTTGATTGAGAATCTACATAGGCAAAGTGCTGGGGATTGCATTAAATCATCCTGGTTGCTATCATGTATCACATAATTATCTTTTAGCACAAAAAAAAGAGTAAGAACGGACAACAGGCATAAAAGCAAGCCAAGGTAATTTCCAAAGATCATAAAAAGTTGTGTTGAGTTAGCAGGAAGATTTTGACAACTATAAAGAGATAATGAAAACAAATACATTTATAAACAACAGTTAGACTATATGCATATATTATTACAGTAGAGAACTTATGAATGTAATATACAAACAATTATAAAGATGTTGGAAAGCAATGCATAATTAAATGTACTTGTAAAAACAATATATTTATATAGTGTACCAAATCATAAACACTGCCTATTATAATGCAAATGCCACTGCTTTCTGCTGTAGCTAGGAATAAAGAGAAATACCTAGGTGCTCCTCTTCCCTGTTGGTTAAAAAACAAACAAAACTAAAGCTCAAGACTGTTTTGATTTCTCCTTTGAAAAACAGAGAGTAATTGAGAATGTTAAATGAATCACTGTCTGTTCTAATAACCAGCAACAAAATAAATCTTGAAGACTACTAAGGATTTGGAACATTCTTACAACCCATATGTCATAATCCAAGACATATATAACACTGCTCTGATTTATTGACTTTATTTATACTTTGGGGTAGTATGCTATCATACAGTAATTGCACTGTACATTTTCAGCAATTCTCTCCTACCATATCTGTTTTCTAATAGCTGATTAGTATCATTCAGAATTGGAACACTTTGATGAAATGCTTCTGGCTGCTTTCCTTCTGCTATATTTCAAAACACCAGGTATATGTAAATGTGGAGGCACATATATTTAACACATATTTATTCAGAACTGGTAATAAAAAATTAAATACATCTGCATTTTTATTATCAGTCCTTTTAAAAAAGTTATTAAGAGTACTTAGAAAAACATATTGCACTAAGAATTCCTATTTGCACTCTTTGCATAAAGGTGTAAATAAAGGCAACTAATAAGCTACCCAGACACCCTTCTGAGCAAGTGGCTAAAAGCCAATCAATATTATGAGTTAATCCTCCCTGGATGCTCATTCAATTAAAGGTGTCAGTAATGCCTCATCTGATGTGGCCTCAATTAAATCCAACTATCTGATGGTGTGAAAACACAGGGGGATACAGCAACAGCAGCAAAACCAGACAAATAGGCAGCCTTCGTGTGCCTGCTAATTACTACACCTGGTGTATATTATGGCTCATGCACTTAACGCAGCACGAGGTGGCTTTAATTTCTGCTATATTCGTGTGTGTGTGTGTGTGTGTGTGTGTGTGTGTGTGTGTGTGTCTGTGTGTGTGTGTCTGTGTGTGTGTGTGTATGTGTGTGGTGGGGTGCACTGATGGGTAATGGGAAGCTCATCTGAATGTTACTAAAAACAGTTAATAAACGTGGCTTTTGATTTTTAAAACCCTAGTATCAATAAGTAGTTTTTATCATACAAAGAGCTTTTTTAGATAGTTTTTAAGAAATTCTGTGAAATTAGGTAAAAATGAAAAACAAGGAGCAACATGAAACAAAATATCCATAAGCTAATTTTAAAGAAGTCCCGGGAAAAGGAAATGAACATCATTTCCAAGTACCAAGTCTTATTTTTCAATTGTATAGTTTTTAAAGAATATTTACTAAGTCAATTTATAAACTCAGAGAAAATCAGAGTACAACATAGTCATAAAGTCTCACTGAAAGGAAGTACATACATATTTCAGAGCTTAACAGCTCATACTATAAATATAATTAGGCTCAAATTGAATAGTTCCAATGTTTATGCCCTTAAAAAACATGAAAAAAATCTCTAATGTGTAGGAAGAATTTCTTGTTTACATAATGACTCTGGCGGGCCAACTCTAAGCCACACGGCAAGGACAAGCCACTTTCCACAGCAAGCTGCAGACACCATATCCAGAGCTGTCCACTGCATTCGTACAATTATCTGTCCCTCTAGTCTGCTCCTGCACAACCCATCCTGATTAGAGCTCCTGATGCAGGCAAGTAGCAGGAAACTCTCTTGGGCATTCTATCATATCCTTGGCTAAAGGGTATGAATGAGAAGCACTAGAAATAAGAAAAGCCACCCTACCCTGCTGGGCTACTTTAAAGTGATGACAGCAGCTGCAGATGAGCAGAACTGGTAAAATAGGGATAAGAGAAACAAAGCCTCTTTTAATCCTGGGCACCTCTGTGAGCCAAGCCTGAGGTACAAGTAGGAAACTGCTAGCTAGATTTCATCAGTTTTCCCAGATTCAGTGTATGTTTGTTGACAATTCTGGTTTCTTTTTAAAATGCCTTTTTTCCCCCCATGCACACATGCGCAAAGTGAAAAACACAATTTGTGCAAGTCTGAAGAGGAGTTCGGGTATTCAATTTAGAGGATAAAGGTAATGGAAGAGACGGCCTCCCATCCTTATATGAGCATGAGCATTCTCAGCCGTCTCACCCTCAAGATAGCAAAGCTGCTCTGCTTCTATGAGTCAATAAGCCTCTGCCATGGAGGAAGGCTGGGCAGTGACCCCGGCAGAAAATCAATGGAGCAGGGGAGGTGCTTCCATTTGCCAGCACCAATGCAGCCTGAGTCTCAATGGCAAGCTATTACTAAAGCTAATTCCAAACGCAAACATAAATCATTCTTACTATTTTATGGCACTATCTTCCATTGTTCTTTCTAAATGTTTGCTCTTTGTGTAGTCTTCTACCCACTAAAGTCACTCTTTATGTTCATCTAAATCTGATTTTACTGATTTAAAAACATGTAAGAGAAAGAGTGATGCAAACGATTTTTAAAATGTGTATTGTTTATGATGGCCAATTCATATTGCTAGAGATAGAAGGAGAAAAAAAATCCTAAAAGAAGAAAGAAAATGACAAAGAGCACAGAGGGGAAAAAAGACACAGAGAGGAAGGTGATGGGTGAAGAGAAAGGAAAAAAAGAAGGAAAAAAGAGCCAGAGGTAGCAGGGCCTCCTCTCTATTTCTTATTCTCTTCACTGCTACTCTTTCCTTCCCAGTATTTATCAAAATTCTGCCATCTCTACGCAACAAAATGGAATTTGACTTTATATAATTATTCATTATATTTACAGGAACAGACTTTATAGTCTATATTCTTAATTTAAAACAGCAATGAGAAACTTCTTTTTATGAGGCACAATTAAAAAATAATATCTATAGTCTATTCCTCAAGAATTATGTTAATCATGCAATTCCATTTGTTACTGTTCTAATTTTTTTTCTCATTCAAGAATTTTCCCCTGAAATTTTGGCAACTATAGAGGTAGAATGGCCACATTATTTTGTAGCTCAACTCTATTTCCCTACCCATGATTCTGGGCTGACTTTTGACTTGCTTTGACCAATCAAATGTGACATAAATGATGTATAAGTTCAAAAGCAAACCTCAAGAAGTCTGGCCACTTCTGTCTTCATTCTTGTGGAATTACTCCCACTATGGGAGTGGCCTGGTCTAGCTTCTTTGAGGATAAAAGACCATGTGGAAAGAGAAGCCCGGCTACATCAGCACACCCCATTGCAGTGTGTGAATGACACAAGGTGAAAAGAGCAGGAAAGATTTTCATCTAACCCCTCAGAATCATGAGAAATAAAATACTGTTTTCAGTCACTAAGTTTCGGGTGGTTTGTTATACCAAACCATCATTCTCTCCCCACTGTGGTCCCTGACCTTCAGTAACAATATCTTATGTATTAGAATTTGTTTTAAAATTTCCAAAGTGAAAAATATATTGGAATGTAAAGAATAAACACAATAGCAAAACTAATCTAGAAACTCAGAGGATCAAACCAGAAAATTCATCAACCCTATGTCTGGAGTCTTTTATCCTACAGTGAGGATTCATGACAATTATGGACCTTTTAATTCTGTAACACAAGACACAAACTGATGACATACAAGAGTACTGAAGCAACATTTACCTTCTCAAAGACTCCAGGAGACAATGCAATAACATCTGCTGTTTGTTAGCAGGTTAACAAATATTGCATAAGAAGAACATGCCCACATGTGGTGGAGAAACTCAAGCACAATGAAAGACTGTTATGAATATCAAGCATGATCTGAAGGAGGGGCAAGAAATAAGGAGAGTAAAAATAGCACTTACCACTTGCATGGCAGAACCTCTGGGAGGATGGGGCTCTATGAGTAGCTGAGAAGGCGTCTGTCCAAAGCTTCGGATTTGAGCTTCAACAGCCTGAAAAAGGCAGGGGCAAGTCTGAGGGTTAAGAGGTGCTAATTACAGGCAATAGAGCCCCAACTGTCACCTGAAAATATCACTCCATACTCTGGCTTGCTTCATGTTGAAAATCAACCTGTGTTTTCACAGTGGGGCTAAGCACCTGGCAAGGGCATTGAGGGTGAGGTCATTGTTTAGAACTGTGGAAGCTGTTCTTATAAAACTGTACAAAACTTTCTCATCTTGCTTAGTGATATGAAACAGAAACCAGCTATTACAATCAGAAATTGTCCTTTTTGGCTTCATCTCTGTTTTCCTGCATTTAGTTTTCCTGCTTGCATCATCCCCGATGATGAAAAGCTAATCTTTTACAGGTATAGAGAAAACCTATTGCTTCTTTGATTCTAGGTCCCATTTCATCCTGGGGAGTAAAAAGGAGGAAAAAAGAAACATAGCACCTGTGAAAGTGGCTTGATGCTATATTAATTTTGCCATAGGAAGAGCATTATTGTTGACAGTCTCTTTGAAGTTAGGTAACTAAATAACAAAGTAAAATCCATATGTTGCATCTAAGCATGAGATGGTTAAACCAGGGACTAAACATAAGGAACATGTGTATGTGTGCTCTTTTTGAAAGATGTGTGCTTTTGCAAGGCACTCTCCTACTGTGGCTCTTGGTGCACACACAGCACACAGATGCCCATTTCCCAGTCACAGCCACCATCATGGGAAACTACTAAATGCCAGGTGCTATCACAATCCGTAAGCATTTTGTTTACTTGCTTGTATCTATTTCTTCCCAGTCAAATACAAGAGCCATGAAAGCAGGACCTTATGTATCTTCTTCACTGTTAGATCCCTAAATTGGCTGAATGAATAAATGCTACATGACTAGAGAAGGAAGCAAAGATTTATAAAGACTACTTCAACACTCTCACAACATTCAGTACTTAACTCGCAGGCTAAATCCCTCAAATCAATAAGAATAAAAATTGGAGCCAAAAGGAAGTGAGGTAGGGACCAGGATCATTTTCAGAACATCATCTCAAATATTTTTTGATAGAGTGAAATTAATTTGTGATTAAACATCAAGGACAATCTTGAGAAAAAAAATCACAAAGTGGCAACCTGAAGGCTAAAGGTAGTCACAAAGGAGGAGGCAGCAGCACTACTATTTTATAATTTATGAGCTTATGGACTGAGTTTATGAATGAGAGCTTTAAGTCTTTTTGAAGAACAGCTGGTAAGGATGAGCATGGTGGCTCACACCTGTAATCCCAAACCAAGAAAAGAGGATCGCTTGAGGCCAAGAGTTCAAGAACAGCCTACACAGTAAGACCCTGTCTCTACAAAAAAGAAAGAAAATTGGGCCAGGAGTGGTGGCTGATGCCTGTAAATCCCAGCAATTTGGGAGGCCGAGGCGGGTGGATCACTTGAGGTCAGGAGTTCGAAACCAGCCTGTCCAACATGGCGAAACCCCATCTCTACTGAAAATACAAAATTAGCCAGGCATGGTGGTGCATGCCTGTAATCCCAGCTACACGGGAGGCTGAGGCAGGAGAATCACTTGAACCCAGGAGGCAGAGGTTGTAGTGAGCCAAGATCGTGCCACTGCACTCCAGCCTGGGCAACAAGAACAAAACTCCATCACAAAAAAAAAAAAAAAAAGAAAAAAAAGAAAAAGAAAAGGCTCGGTGTGCCTGTAGTTCCAGATACTTAGGAGGCTGAAGTAGGAGAACAGCTTGAGGCCAGGAGTTTGAAACTGCAGTGAGCTATCACTGCACCACTGAGCTCTAGTCTGGGCAGGAGTGTAGCCTGAACAAGAGTGCACAGACCTGCCTCCTAGACAGTTGTCTTCTGTGGCTCCTGCCCAGCCACCCACATGCCTCCCTGATTAAAAGGGGAGGGGAGGTGGCAAAGAACTTATTGCTTCAGCACTTGGCCTACCATGTCAGATGGCTCAGAATGCAAATCCTGACTCTGACGCTTATCTGTTGTTTGACTTTGGGCAATTAGCTTATCTCTGTTTCCCATCTATAAAACAGAGATAATAACAATACCTAGTTCATAGAATTGTTTGGAAAATGAAATAAGATAATGTATATAAAGTGCTTAGCACAGTACCTAGCACATACAAAGCATGAAATAAAATGGTATACTGTATCATTATTTGGTGTGGGAGTTGGTGTGTTCTTTACTTAACACAGCCAAAATAAGGAAGAAATACTTTGGGAGTTTATGTAGGAAGAGAATGAGAAATATATATTTAAGAAAACTGAAATCTGGCTTAGGATTTGAAAATATACCACAGGGCTAAGAGCCTAGAGACAAAGAGATTTCTTTGGAGGTTCTGAGAGCAGTCCAAAACATGAGGAATTATATACCCAGATCCTTATGGAAGCTATGGTAATAGTAAGAAAGAGATGACTAGGTGAACCAGCTAAGGAAAAATCAACAGATCTTAAGGACTGATGACTTTGAGCAATGAAGATAATACAAAACTAATTCCTTTTCTTAAAAAAAAACCCAAAAAACAAAAAACTTGCATGTTTCAGAAAACAATAAAGCAATGAGAAGAAATAGGAGTATGGGAGTTTCTGTTAAGGAAAACCACTTTGGCAGGAGAAAGACAGTAAATTTTATGTCAGACACATGGAATCCAATGTGATAGTGACAACCATTTACCTAGGTCAATATGTCCAATGTGTGAAAGAAAGCCTAAGAATGGCTCTGAGGTAAGAGAAGAGAGGTATTGATTTTGGTGTCATTCATACAAAAGAGAAATTTAAGTTAATATTTTTTTATCTTTCTCTCTTGCTGTATATGTATGTTTTTAAGCAGCAGAGACGACCTTCGTTTTGAAATGAAATATTACATGAAGCCTCAATACATGGAGATAGGGTTATTCAACTTTACAGGGTGAAATCATCCCTAACGAGCCTCCTCAGCAGCCTCTGAGACAATTCTGAGCATTCTTTAGGGCTCTGGAGCACAGTTTGAAACTGTACTTGTTAAGCCCTAGGATGAAAACACATGAAACCCAGACACAAAAGCACCTAAAGCTGAACCTCAAGAAGTATTTAAATTTAGGGCATAAATAAGAAAGTAATGAAGACAGAAAGAGGGCAGTCGGAGGGTAGAGGGGAGGATGAGCAACATAGGGTGCTATGGAAGCCATAGGATGAGTTTTGAAGGGAGAATAGGCAATAACGCGAGAGAAGCTGGGAATGATGACATTATAGCATATAAATCTTTATTACAGGTATAAATTTAATCTAACATGTCTTAATATTACATAAAGTGTTTTGCACTTAACAATGTTTTGAGATGAAAGGTTATGGATGAGACAACTTTTGAAAATACCAATCTCCTCTTTTTAACACTTTAGTCTGAAAATTTTAATACAATTGGCACATTACTGAAAACTCTGAGGAAATGGCTTTTTCAAGTCACATAATGTAGTGGTATTATTCTATCTCAATGACAGAATAAAAGCTATATTATCTCACACAGGTTAAATAATAATCAATTTTCTTTCCAAGTCTTGAAAGCATCTAAAAAGGCTGTGAAATCTCAGACACAAATGCTTTACTTCTTGATTAACCTTTGAGTTCTTGATATTAAAAATGCAACAGAAAGGACTTTTTCAAGTGTGAAAATTATTGAGTAAGACTGTAAGGTAATGACTATGATCTCAAAACTTTATAGTCACACTTTATATCATCAACGGATAATTCTAGATTCTCCTCCTTGTTTTTAAAATTCATTTGCCGCTTTTCATTCATCTTAATCTCTGAAGCAATTTACAGAGATTCTCCCTTCTGTGGCTTCAATGGCTTCATGCTTAGACTGGCTCTGTAGTCTACTCCTTGACTCTCTCTTTTGCTGACTTGTCATCCATAAATGAATTTATCGCTGTAATTCTCTTTCAGTACTATGATTTTCTCAACTTAAGTTTGCTTTCTTGGAAATTTTTTCTACTGGGCTTCAAACTCTACCTCTATCTGAAAGGTTTCCAACCCTATGACCAGAGGTTGTCCACTCCCATGAAGTTTGCCCTGGCCATCTTGCGTATGTCTTCGCAGATCTAAAATCTTAAAATACTATTTTTTATTTTAGCATTCCTCAGTCAAGGATTAGATACATCTTCTGATTTTTTTTAACCTCAGGATATCGTCAACATTTAAAAAATTTTATCTGTTTTACATATAAAGTCACTAAGTCCAATCACTTCAAAGTTTATCACACTCATCACTCCTTTCTGTATCCAGGCCCCTTATAATTTCAAGTATCAAGTACTGTAATAGTCTCTTTGCTGGTTTTCCCCCTCTATTCAGTTTCTGCCTTCAGTATTCCTGCAGAACTGAGTTTTCCCAAACTCACCTTTATGCAAAATTTCTCTGATCAAACGTCTTCAAGTGATTCCAGTACTTAAAAGATAAAAACTAATGCCAGGCATTGCAGGTTTCCCACCTCTCTAACTTTTATTCTCTCATTCTATTACCTTCTACCAGTGTTCCTTTTCAGTCAAGCTGGTTTTCTTCCACAAATATAAGCCATCTCTGCCTTACATTTTCTACCATGCCACTGCCCCTCCTAGAATGGTTACTCTTATCTTCAGTTTTCTAAGTTCTACCCATCTCTAGAAAACCTTGCTTGAGTTCTACCAAGTTTCCCTCATCTTGTTAAATAGTTAAACCTATTCATGCTGCTCATTACAGTATACACTTGATTCAGAATTCCCTGTAATGTTATTTATGTCTGTCATTACAACAATAATAGAAGGCAGCAGTTCCCAAACTTTTTGGCACCAGGGACTGTTTTCATGGAAGACAATTTTTCCATTGGCCTGGTTGGGGGAGTGAATATGATTTTGGGATAAAACTGTTTTACCTGAGATGACCAAGCATTAGATTCTCATAAGGAGTGTGCAACCTAGATCCCTCGCATACGCAGTTCACAGTAGGGTTTGTGCTCCTATGAGAATCTAATGCTGTGGCTGATCTGATAGGATGTAG